AGAAAAATAATTTTTAAATCTTTAACATTATATTAAAAAAATATATTCCTTTGTTATTATCTCGCACAAAAAAATATTAAAAAATACTAAGAAATAACTCGCTTATTTATTATATATTCTACTAAAAAGATTAAGTATTATATTATAAATTTTATCATATTTATTGACAAAAATTTATCACCACATTAAATTCATAATTTTTGTTAAATAGATTAAATCTTTTTTGACTTGAAAAATATTTGCATTTTATTTTAAAATTTTAATGCCACATAGATTAAAAACCACAAATTAAATTATTTTATAAATTAATGGTAAAAAAAATAATTTATAAAAATCCAAAAATATATATATATGGGATATTAAAAATTCGGCTATCACATGGGCGATCATCTAGTATATTATAAATGGATCTTATTTTAAATTTAAAGAACTTTGAAAACGAATTTTATGATGAAAATCTAATATATATATATATATATATATATATATATATATATATATATATATATATATATATATATAAAGGGGAGTTTTTCCCGAGTTTTTAGAGAGCCACGTAGGATTTAATTTTTTCAGCACGCCATGTAGGATAATAAATTTTAGTGTTAGCCAATTAAATACGAGATTATTAATTTCTTTTAGAATTAAATAATTTAAATGACGCATAAGCAAAATTCACGAATGAGATTTCCCAGTTTAAATTAATTAAATATAAAATATTATCTTTTGATATTAGGAATTATATATATATTGGAGGGATCCAGTAAGAACCCCTCCTTATATAAGAACCTAATTATATAAGAATTAATCTAATCCGTAGAATTAGATACGGATTAGATTGAAATAAATGATCCAGATTAAAGGAGTGGAAGTAATGGCATTATAGTAAATACGAAGACTAACTACCTACATATTTACTAGTATATCAGAATTTTTCTCTCTCATCTAGTTCCCTCTACGCTCTCTATCCTAAAACCCCCCAATTCACTCTAATAACACCAAAATGGCTGCATTTGAAGGAAGTTCAACGAATTTTTAATCCAATTTTTACTCAAATTTATCTAAAATTACTGCTTATAACATTAATTAGCATTATACAAGTTAAATTGAGAAATTTATTTGCCAATTTTGTAAATACAAACCCTATTTTGACGCAAGAACAAATTGAAGAAAAAATTGAGTAGGAGGAGAAGAACATCGAAACTAACATAAATTAGTGCCGAAATGCAAAGGTAATTTTTGTTTTTGTCGATTTTTATTCAATTTTTTTTTTAATTTTCTAATTGCTGCATTTTCGTTTGAATATTTTTGATTTCACCATATTCTTGATTTCCTCATATTTTCTGTTGAATATTGTAATTTATTTAGGTATTTACTTCCCTATTTTTGTTTGAATATTGAAATTTAAGACTATTAGCACAGTTGGTGACTTGGTGAACCGTGGTATTATGTGATGATTCACGAAGTTGAGCAACCACCAATTATTTGTATGTTTATATCTTTTTATTGCTAAAACTAATCTTATTATAAATTTAGAATATAGCTAGGAAAAAAATAGAAAATATTTCAAACATCAGTAACATAAAATTAGAACGTAAGAAAATTTATAGCATAGAAAAAAAAAGTTTAGAACATAGGCAGAAAAATTTTAGAATATAGACAAATTTTATAGAAAATAGTCAAAATTTTAGAACATAAGAGAAAAGTTTAGAACATAGGTATAAGAGTTTAGAACATAGGTATAAAATTTAGAACATAGAAAAAAGTTTAGAGCAAAGGAGAAAATTTTAGAACATAGGAAAAAAATTTAGAACATAAGCAAAAAATTAAAAATAAAAAATGTAGACAAAAAAAAAGTTTAGAACATAGCTATTTTTGCGATTTTCGGCGATTTTCTGTTCGATTTCATTAGGAAAATATTTCGGTTTTATGGTTTGATTTTTGTGCGATTTTTCTAGGTGATTTATGTGCTTTTTTGTTGTGGAGTCGTTGTTGTGTTTGTGGTTGCTACGGTGGTGTGAATTTGGTGGTGGTTGTTGGCTATGGTTGGTGGCAGAGGAATGAGAAGGTTTGTGATGTTGGCAGAGGTTGAGGGTTTTGAGTGAGGGAGCAGCAGGGAGTAGACCGAATTGGGGTGGCTGTGAGTGAGGGGTGTGGATTGGAGATGCGGTGTAGGATAAGAGAAGGAGTGGTGAAGGTTAAGTGGCTGAGCAGCAGGGAGAACATAGAGAAAAATTTAGAGCACAGGTTTAGAAGATAAGATAAATTTAGATCATAGGAAAAAAATTTAAAGCACATGTTTACAACATAGGAAAACATTTAACATAGACAAAAAAATAATTTCGAACACATGTTTAGAACATAGGAAAAAGAAAATTTAGAACATAGAAAAAAAATTTCTAAAAGAAAACCTAGAACATAGGTAAAAGAAAATTTAGAACATAGACTAAAAAAATTTAAAACATAGAAATAAAAAATTAGAAATTAGTTTTAGAGCATAGGGAAAAAATAATTTTAAAGCACATGTTTAGAACATAGGAAGACATTTAGAACATAGACAAAAAAATAATTTAGAGCATAAGAAAAATTCAGCGCACAAGTTTAGAACATAGGGAAACAAAAACTTTAGAACTTAGGTAGAAAAAACTTTAGAACATAGGGAAAAAAAAAGTTTTAGAACATAAGTAGACTAAATTTAGAACATAGGAAAAATAAATTTTAGAACATAAGTAGACTAAATTTAAAACATAGGAAAAAAAAATTTAGAACATAAGTAAACTACATTTAGTACATAGGAGTAGGCAAAAAAATTTAGAACATGGGAAAAAAAAACTTTAGAACATAGGGAAAAAAAATTTAGAACATAAGTAGACTACATTTAGTACATAGGAGTAGGCAAAAAAATTTAGAACATGGGAAAAAAAAAAACTTTAGAACATAAGTAGAAAAAATTTAGAACATAGGAAAAAAAAACTTTAGAACATTAGTAGACTAAATTAAGAACATTAGTAGACTAAATTAAGAACATAGTAAAAAAAAAAGAATTAGAATATAAGTAGACTAAATTTAATACATAGGAGTAGGCAAAAAAAATTTAAACATAAAAAAAGAATATTTTGTTTATGTTCTACAGTACGAAGTATGATTATACGAATCTATTATATATTCTCAGTCATGATTATTGTATCTACTCGTAGCACTTTCTAGTTTACTTTACTACTTTTGAATCATAAAAATCATGGACAGAAAAAAAAAAGAAAAAAAAAAGTCAAGAAAATTTAGAAAATTGTGAAAAATATCAGCAAAAAAAATAACAATTTAATATTACTAAAGAAGACAAAGGTATGTAATATTCTGTTACTAAAGTATGTTCTTAAGAATGTGTCATATGTTCTTTATTTAGCACTCTGTATTCTGTAAAACAATTCCTATGTTCTAATTTTAAGACATTTGTAATAAATTTTAGAACAAATTCGATCAGTAATTTTGAACATATGCTAAAACCTATTAGCTCAATTGGCAAGAGCACTATGCATATGCATAGAAGATGTAGGTTCGATTCCTACATAGGTAAACTCTAAAAATAATTTCAAAAAGTAAATTAAATTAGCATTAAGTTATATTTTGTACAAGAATAAATTGGTTGAAATGATTAACTACTGTTTCGGCAAAAAATGAGCTAACCGGGCCTTGGAGGGGTGTCTGAAAACCTCGAATTTGGGCCTTGAATGGACCTGCAAAATGAACCCCGAGCCCCGGGGGTTGAACCCGGGGCGGAGCCTCCGACGCCCAAGTTAGTTGCCAAACAATGCATATTTTGAGAGGAGTTTAGGGGAGAGAGTGGAGGAGTATGGTCATCTTAGATGATAAGAGTGACCTCCTTTTACCTTATGCCCTTTGAGGGGTATTTATATGAGTACATAAGTGGGTTTATGAGCCCTAAAAGTACATATGTGGGCCGTTGAAGGCCATATTGATGTATTTGACTTATTTGGGGCCTTTTATACCTTTTTTATGCCCTTTGGGCTTATATGGGTAGAGTTACCCAAGACTAAAATGGGTATGACCATTTTAGTACCCAAACAACTACTATGGAAACTTTGTTACAACTTAACTCACATACAAATTCTTGTCTCTACACTATGAAAATGAACCTACATGGGATTCAAACTCACATTTTTGTGCATTTGCACAACGCTCTACCCGTTGAGTTAGTAGCCTAATGTATATAAAACATTTAAACTAAAGGAAAATATTACTAGCTAGATATCAAGCAGGGGGATGTCAAAAACATCACGAAATAGAGAGAAATTACGTACTAAACCAAAATGCAACAGCTGAAATAAAAGTACATAAGATTCCTTAGTGGTGACTGGTTAGTGGACGCATAATAACAATTACACCAGCAATGTAGCATGCATCTTAAATCTTAGAACTTAATCACATTTATTAAAGCATTACAGTTGCTAATCAAAGGATGACACACTTTGCACAAGTCCGTATAATTTTGCAAATATACAAAGATGGAATTGGAGTGAACTGCATGATGGCATCAGTCCAATTATATCTAACCGCTGACAAAGCTCCTATGTCATCTTACTTGTACAATAACAAAGATAAATTTATCAAATTTTCTACTTATGTTCCTTTTTTTTAGCATTTGAAAAATCTCTTATGTTATAATTATTGCTCTTTCTCCTCAAACACAACCCAAACAAGTTAAATTGAACAACTTAACTAGAAAAAAAAAAATATCAACCCTAGATTTCACAATAATTAATGATTCAAAGTTGCAGCTGATTGATTCAAACAAATTAACTTATCCATAACCATTATAAAAAATGCAAAACTAAATATTGTAGCTTATGAATAGTAATTTCTGGTGCTATTAAATAGATGCCTTTATAATTAATGAATTGCCCAAATTGCCCTTGCTTAATCAATTGCCTTTTTTGATAGCTGTAATTGAGAGTGGGCCCCTTGCTTCTAGACTGACTTCCCTCTCTCTGTTTTCATCTCAGAAGGAAAGGGTCAGAGCATTTGATTAAGCAAGGAAAGAGAAACCTAGAGAGAGAAAAATTCAGCAACTCAAGACCACCGATCATCGTTTTCGACGATGGGGCTTCGATTCTTCTCAGCGTCCGAGGTTGTGGAAGATGACTTTCCCATCGTCACATTTATCAGGTTCGATCTTGTTTCTCTATCTTGATTTAGTTTCAAATTTTTGGGTTTGATTGTCGTGGATTTTTGCATATATGTTCCTGTTGTTTTCGATATGTTCAATGTATATTCGAATTTTTTTGGTTGAATCTTTGTGGGTGTATTTCAGCAAAATCGCTTCGTTTTTATTGGGGTTTATTTGATCGATTTGTTTTCGATTTTTTGGCTTTATTTGGTCGATTGGTTTTCGATTATTTTGGGGTTTATTTGATCGATTTGTTTTCGATTTTTTTTACTTAATTTGGTCTATTGGCTTTCGATTGTTTTGGGGTTTATTTGATCGATTTGTTTTCGATTTTTTTGTCTTTATTTGTTCAATTGGTTTTCGATTATTTTAGGGTTTATTTGATCGTTTTGTTTCTGGTTTTTGGTTTTCGTTTTTTGGGTTGAATTTGAGTGACTTATCGTTCTTTTGGGTTGAATTGTTGATCTCTAGGTACAATTCTCTCTCTCCTTTCTCTTCTGAGGTTTCTCCAATCCTCCACTGAAGCAACTCCTGGACTTTCCACTCCATTGAAGAAGCTTGAGAGGTTATTTGATGATTCTCTGATCTCCAGGTTTGATTCTCTTTTCTTTCACTCTCGTGTTCTAATTGTTTGAATAAAGCCAAAAAGTCAAAACTTTATCATATAAAAAACTTTTAATCATTAATAATAATGGAAAAGAAAAGCAGTAAATTTAAAGGGCTGTTTAGTGAACTAAGCTGGTTTTTGCAAAAAATTTTGGTTAAACCATTTCTTCTTTTGATTATGTCTACGTTGATTTCCACGCTCCTTAGTGTGGTTACTGCAAGCGTCTCTCTCCTGAGGTATCCCACTTCATTTTTTGGATTGAATTGAATGAGTATAAGTTTTCTATATGATAAAGTTTTGATTTTTGGTTAAATTGAATGATTATAAGTTTATTAGGTGATAAAGTTTTAATTTTTTTATTATATTATATGCTTTTTGGGTGATAAAGTTTTGAACTTTTGATTTTTATGCTTCTTGGATTATAAACTACTTTTGATTATAATTGTTTTCTTGGATGATAAAGTTTTGATCTTTTTGATTTGGCTTTACAACTATTCTGGGTTGTCTTTGGTCTTCCTTCTAATGTTGAGCCTTCACTACCAGAAGCGTGTGATAGGTTTGAGCCTTTTTCTCTAATCTGCTTACCTCATTATAAGTTAAGTGTTCTACATTGGTAAGTTTTGAGTTGCTACTTGTTGGTACATAATTGGCATGCTTTGTCACTTTAGAAAGAATAATTACCAGTGAATGTCAACATGTAAACTGATGACCCTAAAATTTCTTTTGCTAAAGTAAAGGTCTTTATATTGGCTTCTAATCCATGGATGATGATGTTTAGGAATCTAGGGCATCCCTCCCTTTCTACACATACCCCTCCACCACCACCACCACCACCAATCCACCACAGTAAAATAAGTCTTGATAATGTAACCATTTGAAGCGACTTTTCAAATATTGGTACAACTCGATCTATTGGCATACACTAGAAATCAAAGTTTCTCTGATCAAAATGAAAAGTAATGCCTGTTCTTTTTCCGTGCTTACTATCTCTTTTTTGTTTACAACAGGCTTTGTCTTGCTTTCATGGGTAGAACATGGAGGCTGGTTCATTCATTGGGAACTCTTATCTTAAATGTCAGTCTGCATTATTTCATCTCATCATATTGTAGATGCTGATAGTTGGCAAAAAGCTTATGAGTGTATCTCTTGCAGTTATTAAGATACTATATTATGACTGCTGTTATGCTCTTAAACTAAGCTAAAATTTTGTAGAGTTGGTGGATTTGCACTTGCAAGTTAATGCCAAGTACATTAAGATTAAGACTTTGTTGTTGACCTTTGAACTATGCGTCTATATGTTTTCCATTTCTATACAACTATACAAGTATATATGAAATATATATTTGTAATCTTTGAACTGTATTTTTATCCGGGACAAAGGTCCTGACCATTGAACATGAATATGATTTTCAGTGCCTGGCGAACTGCTGGTAGATGTATAAACACTATGAATTGCTAAACTTCTTTATTGTGTACTTTGTCTCTGAAGAGCTTAGTAATTTTTTATTGAACAATTGAGGATAAAATTTATAATTTTTTTGTTGCTGCTGGTTCAGGTTTTGTACTTCATTATCAGTCATTTTTTACTTGATCTCGGGTTTTTGCATATTTTATTGTTGTCCTGTTTTAATCATTTCAGGACGAGCTTAGGCAACTATGCTTTTATGCTATTTTGTTCCTTCCATTAAAGAGCATGGTGTACAGAGATAACAAGAAGAAAGTAGCCTTCAGATTTCTGACCCATCCCTCCCCCCCACCCAAAAAAAAGAAGTATAAAAACACACTTTTACACACCCCAGTCATAGCATCTAATTTTTTTATATTTTATGTATTTATATTTATTTATTTATTTATTTTTATTTGGAGGTCCTAGATTATCCACCAATTGAAAGGTCCTCTGGTACTCCAAGAAAAGCTATACATGAGGGGTATCAAGAACAAGTTTTTTGCAAGAACCAGAGTTCACTAAACATCCCTTTAAATGTACTGTATCAGTTACAAACTCTAACAATTATAATTTTCAATAGAAGAACCACTCGAAAATTTTCTACTTTAAATAGTCTAACAAACATGTATACAATTCTTTTATATATTTTACATTTAATCCATTTTACATAACTTTAACCTCTAATATTGCATTTCCTTATTACTAATCCTTATTATCACAATCATTTTAAAATAAAGCTCTTCGATATTATTTAGGTACTCAATAAACCATATTTTGTTCTGAAATAATATCTAAAGCAATAGTATACTTTTTAAAAAATCATTAAATCCTAACAAATTCTAGATAACTTCACTTATAACAATTGTTTTTCCATACATATATCTCCATAGAAACTTTATCACTATTCCTTGTTAGTACTTACAAATTCTTGTATCCTTGCTATTACATAACCCGAATACAGCCACGAATATTACAATAACCGGACACAACTACGAATTTTACTTATCTTACAAGCTTTATCACTACCCCTTCTAACAACTTATAAATTAAAACGTCTCTATAATTACTTAACCTAAACAAAATCACGAAAACCTCAAAAAAGGAACAATTTCACGAATCATACTTATCTTGCCGTCGAGGGAGCACGCGCAACGCTCCAACGACTAGTGACATGAAAACATTCATTTAGTTAATGCAAAGAGCCAAAGAGCACTATATTTGTTCAAACTTGCAGTCAATTTAAGGACTTGACTTCGGAATCAATACTACTATACTACGTAATCCTTGCTAGAATATGCTTAACAACCACAGAGCTAGATAATCTTTAGAACATAATTATCAAACTTTTGAACATAGAGAGAAAATTTAGAACATACATAATAAACTTTGGAATATAGAGAGAAAATTTTAGAATATAAAGGAAAACTTAAGAAAATAAAAGGATATACTTTATGATATCATTAATTTGGTACACAAACATGCATGTTCCTATATAATTTGCTATCCAGTAAACAATGTAGCTAAGTTAAATACCTTCGCTTAATCAAAATAACTAATGGATGTATCCTCTAACATTCTTATCAATCAGGTAAAAGCATACATCTGACATACACGTACAGTTACATTCCACAGATACAAAGAAAACAAGAGCCGAGACAAACTAGCATCAAAATCGCATCAAAATAGCATCAAAATCACAAAACAAAATCGAACAAAACAAAATCAAAATTAGAACAGAAAAATCGAACAATCAAACTGATAAATGATTGAACAAACTAAATATAAATCGAATAGAAATCGCCAAAACATTCGAATGGGAGTCGAACCAAAAATCGCCAAAAAAAAATCGCTAAAAATCGCAAAGACATTGACAAAAACCTTAATTTATGAAGAATTCGCACAAAAGTCGTAAGTTCAAGCAAATTTGAATGAAGAATTTGATAAATCTTGATTTAAAAGCTTTAAATAATCGGGGAGGAGTTGCGAAATTGGGATAAGAACTTTAGAGAGAGAAAAATATCATTGCACCAAAGAGAGAGAAAGAACTGACCAATTTTCTAAAAATTCTATTATACCATAAAAAGCTCATTAATTTACAATAATGTCATTATGTTGATCCGGGTAAATGTAGAGCGTCAAATCTTAATTGATCCAATGGTCAGATCTTAATCGATCCAATGGCTGAAAATGGTTTTTATATACAATGGTCATATCATATCATATAACACTAATATATAAAGCTAAACTTTTAGCCAGGTCACGAGGCAGCGACACTTGACGTTCTAACTTTTCGCCAAGTGTCGTGCCACATTGGATATTTAACCAAAGGGAAATCAACCGAGACCCCGTTAGTAGCGGCGTTATAATCTTTACGAGAATGAATCGCAGATGTTGGTTGGAACTAAGTTTGAAATTTATACATAGGGAAAGCCGTGTGCAATGAAAAATGCAAGCACGGTTTGGGGAGGGGTTTTTCTTTTTTTAACAAGGAAATAATCTACTCCATTCGATTGGTTCCGGGTTCGAGTCCCGGGCAACCCATTTAAATAGACATTATAAGATAAAAAAAAAATATTAGTTTAGAATTCTATTTGGATATAATTTTAAGATAAAATTATTAGTTTAGAGTTTTATTTTCGATAAAATACCAATGTTTCAAATGTACAAATTGAATTATAATTTTAATTACAAAAATTATTAAATTATTATTTTAAAAAATCATATCATAAAACTAATATATAAAGCTAAAATATAACTAATATATAAACCTAAACTTTTAGACAGGTCACGAGGCATCGACACTTGGCGTTTTAACTTTTCGCCAAGTGTCGCGCCACGTTGGATAGATTTAAATAAATTTCATAAGATTAAAAAGTTAATTTAAAATTATATTGGGATATAATTTTAGGATAAAATTGTTAGTTTAGTGTTTTATTTTCTATAAAATACCAATATTTCAGAGGTACAAATTGAATTAAAATGTTGTTACAAAATTTTCGATAAAATATAGCAAATCGTCATAAAAGCACCTCAATTCCTAACTAATTTTGTATCAATGATATATTTAAAATTTTAACATATAGATTAAAAATTTATCTTTAATAAACAACTCGGGCATCGCACGGGCACAAAACTAGTTAGCTCCAAAATGTTCGATTTAATACAATAAAAAAATAAATTAGCAATAAATAAATAAAATAAAATAAATGTTCTAAACACGTTGGGTTGACCCGAACCCAAAACTTTAGGCAAAGGTTTAACATTTCTTTATTTGTAACCTGAAATGACCCAATCCGAGATGACTCATGACCCGACCCTAATTGACAGGTTTACATAGTAATAAAATTTTATCCAAATAAAATTCTAAGTTAACTTTTTTTATCTTATGAAATCTAATTAAATCTATCTAACGTGGCGCAACACTTGGCAAAAAGTTGAAACGCCAAGTGTCGATGTCTCGAGACTTGGCTAAAAGTTTAGCTTTATATATTATCGCTTTGTGCCCGTGCAATGCCCGGATAAAATGATTTTATAATTCAATTTGATTGAAAATAGAATTGTAAATTAACTTTTTTTGCTACAAAGTCCATCTATATTTATCCAACGTGGTACAACACTTGGCGAAAAGTTAAAACGCTATATGATGTTGTCTTGTGGCCTAATTATAAGTTTATTATTTGGTATTTTATCGAAAACAAAACTTTAAATTAACCATCTTATTCTAAAATTCTATCGTAATTTGATTGAAAATAGAATATTTAACTAACTTTTTTATCTTATAAAGTCTACTTAATTAGCTATCCAAGGTGGCGCGACACTTGGCGAAAAGTTGGAATGCCAAGTAAAAAAAAGAGGGTTACTTTTGTAAAAAAAGAGGGTTACTTTTGTAAAAAAAAAGGTCACTTTTGTGAAAATATGGGTCACTTTTGTAATAAAAAGGGTAACTTTTGTAAAGAAAAAGGGTCACTTTTCGCAAAAATGTTCGATGTACAATAAAATTACTGTAAACCGGGGGCATGCAAAAGTTTTTGTTATAAGTTTATTATTTGGTATTTTATCGAAAATAAAACTCTAAACTAACCATCTTATTCTAAAATTTTCGCCAAGTGTCGCGCCACCTTGGATAGATTTAAATAGATTCATAAAATAAAAAACTCAGTTAAAAATTCTTTTTTCAATCAAATTAGATAGAATTTTAGAATAAGAGGGTTAGTTTAGAGTTTTATTTTTGATAAAATACCAAATAATAAACTTATAATTAGGTCACAAGACAACATCGTATAGTATTTTAACTTTTCGCTAAGTGTCATACCACGTTGGATAAATATAGATAGACTTTGTAGAAAAAAAAGTTAATTTAGAATTTTATTTTCAATAAATTAAATTGAATTATAATACAATTTTATCTTAAAATTCCATAAACAACCCGGGCATCGCACGGGGCACAAAACTAGTAACTAATATATAAAGCTAAACTTTTAGTCAGGCAATGAGACAGCGACACTTGGCGTTCTAACTTTTCGCCAAGTGTCGCGCCACATTGGATAAATTTAAATAAACTTTATAAGATAAATAAGTTAGTTTATAATTCTATTTTGACAGAATTTTAGGATAAAATTGATAGTTTAGAGTTTTATTTTCAATAAAATTCTAATATTTCAGTGGTACAAATTGAATTATAATTTTGTTTAGAAAATTTCGATAAAAAATAGCAAATCGTCACAAAAGCACAACAATTCTTAACTAATTTTGTATCAATGATATATTTTAAAACATGTATGTATGTATGTACATATATATGTATGTATGTACATATGTATGTATGTACATATATATGTATGTATGTATATATATATATATATATATATATATATATATATATATATATATGTGTGTGTGTGTGTGTATATATGTATAGTTTTAAAACATTCAAACAAACCGTGCAACTTTATTTATTTAGCATCTTATGTGTCACAATAATATCAGTTTGTCGCCTACGTGACTTGATATTTGGCAAAAAACTGAAATGACAATTGTTGATGTCTCGTTGCCGGACTGCAAGACCCG